CATTTAACACTGTAATAGTACAGTGGCACAGAACCACAATTGGCTCAAAATTTATGTTACTAAGCAAGACATTTGTTAAGTGAGTTTTGTCTCATTTTATGACTTTTCTTGCCACATTTGTTAAGTGAGTCACTGCAGTTGTAAACTGTTAGTAACATGGGTGTTAAATGAATCTGGCTTCCCCATTGACTTTGCTTGTCAGAAGGTCTCAAAAAGTGATCACGTGACACCAGGAGACTGCAACTGTCATAAATATGAGTCAGTTGTCAAGCATCTGAATTTTGATCATGTGACCATGAGGATGCTGCAATGGTTCTAAGTGTGAAAAATGGTCATAAGTCACTTTTTCAGTGCCGTTGTAATTTTGAATGGTCATTAAACAGACCGATGTAAGTCAATGACTACTTGTATCCGTTGAACTGAATAGGATATTATGGGAGATTTACATCATTTTCACAATGAGATCATCATGGAAATAATATTAATTATAACAGTTATTTAATTTGGTGCATAGAAACTCCATCATGTCAGGGCCTGGTAAAATGAAGTTTTGTTGCAATAATATATAGGAAAAAAATGTTATTTTTTGATAACCCACAAAAAAATTCACATGAAAGAAAAAACAGTAAATGGGAAACTCTTTTTTCTATTTCTTTTACTATCTTTATTGTCCATTGAGCAACTTGTCTTTTTATATATCAGATATTCTATTTTACTTTTATTAAGAGTTAAAAAAAACAGTGTTTGATTGACAGCTGCTGGGTTGAAAACCCATCATTTTCTACTCATTTCTCCATCTGCATCTAGGGCATGAAACTGTTAATCATTCTTTCAAACATCAAAGAAGCCCATGAATAGTTTGATCAGGAAAGGTAGTACGATAACTGCATATTTATATTTAGTTCCACAAGCTTATAATATTGGGTAGGTTTTTTTATTTATTTCATCACTTTTTGTGCATGTATTAGCATCAGGCAAAATCATAGGAGAAAGAACTAATGAATATGCAACTAGGCCATACTGAAAAACATCTTGAAAGCATACCATTATCTTAGCCAGCAGTATCAAATTAAGCTGAAAGAAAAAATATATACCAGACTTAACAGCAATAATATCTAGAGAATTTTATCTTCAGTTTTTAAAGTCTGTGGGTAGAAACTAGGGTCTTGCACAGCTGACCACACTTATATTGGGAAAATATAGCTAGGACTCCACAATGAATAACTCCAACATCAAAAGGTCTTCATCACTGCCTTACATTTGTGTATATTTGGCGCAGTGGATCTAGCACTCAGCCTCCTTTTGACTCTTGTCAAATCATTTTCCTCTCCAGTATCTACTTACTACCCTTAAGTGAAAAGAAGGGTCAGATGTGACAGAGAAATGCAACTAGCAATCTCTGTCCCTCATCCTTTAATTCTTTTGACAAATGCACTATCAAGATGACATTAGATAGCAGCAGCATTGCACTATTTACAGCACTACTGTATCGTTTGAAATATGTTTTCCTCCTGGTAATCTGTGAGACATTATGCCCATGGGCTTCTATTATGTTTAGGTCATTGTGTAGGGTAGAAGAATATATGACAGATAAATATGCTTAGCAGTTCTTAACTTACACCGGTGGAAGATGGAATTGTTCGTGTATTTATTTTCCACCTTCACTTTGAAGAGGTGCTCTGCAGCGCATTAAGAGATCCTCTAACATACACTGAGATGGAACGCTAAGGGCTGCAAGGATGCTGGTAGAAAATCAATGTTTCTTCCTTGGTTTTATTTATTTTAAAATGTTATAAGGATGCTTAATCCTGCAAGAACTCTGGGTTGCATTCAGTAAATGTAAGCAGTAAATATAAGCAGTAAATTAGGATGCTGGGTGAGGTCATCCATTGGACTGGGTTCAGATACCATCAATATATGGATGATGCCCAGTCTTTACTTTGTTTGGAGTAAAGACTGGGCATCATCCATATATTGATGGTATCTGAACCCAGTCCAATGGATGATCTCACCCAGCATCCTCATGCAGATTTTAAACATAAAGTGAGAGTGCAGAGCCCTGAGATACTCCCCCACACCAAGGTATGATGCCTCTACTGTACGGGTGTCAAACTCGCCACGTCATGTAATGTGTCATGACGTATCATGACTTTTTTCGCATTGCCGGAGGTGGGGTGGGCACGGCCTCCACAGGATGCAACCAGCCCACGGGCTGGCAGTTTAACACCCCTTATCTACTGGTTCTTTCTTCTTTCTGGAACAGCAGTATGGATTGAATGTCGACAAAAATAATGGACATTGCTATTAGGACAGGGGTCCCTAATCCCTGGGCCGGGGTCCACTACCAGGCCATGGTCTATCGGGAACCGGGCCATGCAAGCGGCTGGCCAGCGCATGTGCTCACAGATTGACATGTACAAGCAGCAGGCCGGTGTGCATGCATGCAGCTCGACTTACATGAATGGTGGGCGGCACACACATGTTGCAGCTCAACTTCTGCGAGCAATGGGCCAGCGTGCATGTGCATGCCTGCAGGCAAATTGACTTGCATGAACAGTGGACCGGCATGCACAGGCACATACACATAGCTCAACTTGCACAGGTGGTGGGCTAGCATGCACACGCATACATGCGCAGCTCAACTGGCACAAGAGGTAGTGTCAATGCGTCCTGTCTTGGTGCTCCTTACAACAGCCAACAAGCAGGTACGATAGACGAACAGTCTTTATTTTGCGTGTCGGCCTCGCAGTGCTCGACAGGTAGTCTGGTTCCCCTCTCCCCTCCCACCAGGCCACCAAGCTGTAAACGTTGGGGACCACTGTATTAAGATTTCAACAAAACATGGAAAGGAAGATTTTCCAGGATATATATCGACAATTGAGCCCAAAATTTCTGTTGTTAAGTGAAACATTTGCTAAATGAGTTTTGCCCCATTTTATGACCTTTGTTGCCACAGTTGTTAAATGAATTATTGTAATTGTTAAATTAGTGGCACAGTTGTTAAATGAATCCGGCTTCCCTATTGACTTTGTTTGTCAGAAAGTCGCAAAAGGTGATCACATGACTCCAGGACACTGCAACCATCATAAATATGAGTCAATTGTCAAGCGTCTGAATTTTGATCACATGACCATGAGGATGCTGCAATGGTTACAAGTCACTTTTTTACTTTTTAACTTTGAACGGTCACTAAAAGAACTGTTGTAAGTTGAAGACTACCTGTATCGTATGTGTATATATACATACATATACACATACACATACACACACACACACACACACACACACGTAAAGTTTCTGTTGTATTTGTACATATTTTATATTATCTGTTAGCCTGGAACATTAAATTTAAGGAGGTTATTAAACTTGCGTGCAAATTGTCACAAAACCTAGTGATCCTTGTAACTTACAATGAATAATCCATTATCTCCGATGTATCATACTGTTTTCACTCATGTAACCAGACTAATGGGCCACATTTAAGGTATGAAACAGTAATTAAAACACCTTTTCATTCCCTTAGAAAACAGAAATTCCATTAAAATTAATAATTTTGAAATACAGAACTCTTAATTAATTTAAGCTCTATTAACTGTAGAATCAGCTTTTTCACAGGTTGTGTTTAATTATGCTCTTTACAAGCAAGGCCAACTAAAAGTCATTCTGCTGCTTGAAGCAAAAGTTAAGAAGAATTTCTTTCCATGTAAGAAAATAAACTGGTTAGCATTTGAATGGTATTTTAGTATTGGTAACAGGATTGGTTCCTTCATACCTAAGATCAACAGGTTGGTTTGAAAATATACAATATCATATACATTTGTTCTCAAAAGAAGAAAGAAGACTACGAGAAGTTGCTACTACTGCCCTAGAGATGGCGCCTTACTTTTTTTTTCAGCAGAAATGTCTTCTATCGATCTTCTGCTTGCATAGAGGACTTGTGAAAGGACTCAAAGCAACTGCATAAAGCCTTCTGAGATGCAATTCAGGAACTGAATGATTGACTAAAATGGTTTTGGCTTATCCTGTTACTACTATACTTTGGTCTGAAATAGCTAGATTGTAACATAAATGATAGCAATTGATGCCTGATCTGAGATGCAGTTGCCTTAAATCCTTGTGAAGTAGGCAGACAATAAAAACTGAACATATAAATATAATGACCAAGGCTAGTACAGATATTAAGAATTATGGACACTTCAGGTATGAGATAAAGTGTAATGCCATGTTGTATATGTGTATGTTTATATGTTTAACTATTAATTCAGGCTATATATTGTGCCACCCAGAGTCACTCTATAGATGGAAGGTTTTTAAATTTGAGGAAGGAAGGAAGGAAGGAAGGAAGGAAGGAAGGAAGGAAGGAAGGAAGGAAGGAAGGAAGGAAGGAAGAGATTGTCTGCATAGGCACAAAACAAGAATATTTGATTTTGGAGAATATTTGCCATTTTATATCTATGCAACCTCAGTGTGACATTCTGCAAGATACAAGATATTATATAAATATAATAATCTTGTATCTTGCAGAATTGAAAAATACAGGCCAGTGCTATGAACCTATAAGTAGATATCTTGGATTTCATGTATTTTTTCATCTTAAGGATTTCATTCTAAGTCAGAAAATATCATTTTCTACCTGGAAGGTAGAGTTTATTCTACATGGCTATGTATATAAATATAATAATAAAAATATAATAATAAAAATATAATAAATATAATAAAAATATAATAATACAAATTCAGGCAAAGAAAGTAGCAAGATTATCAATATGTAAATCAATTGACACTGTAATTACAGTGTTCACAGTATAACTTAACCTTGCCTTCTGTTGAAGCTTATTTGATTTTAGACACAAATATTTTATTTCTCCCCTGTTTTCCTTCTAAAATAATCCATAAATTATATAAGGATATAAAAATTAGCTTCAGAAATGATTTCCTGATAATGAATATGAAACTATTAACTAATTACATAGTGTGTCATTCTTTTTTACCCAACATAGATTTATATTTTTGAAAATAACATCTATTACCAGCCTGATGTAAAGAGCAGCTCTTTGAGACTGACATCTTCTGGGAAAGAAGGAATTGTTTTTAATGGAATTGCAGACTGGTTATATGAAGGTAAATTGCACAATAAAAATTGTTGTATGTATGTGAATGCAAAAAAAGCTTGACCTTGCTCAAATCTGAAAAGTAAAAAACATTGCGGAATAAACGCTTTCAAGATTTCTTGGGAATGTGGTAGCTCAGGTATATTTTTCACTTTTAGGCTTAGGGAGATCAATACCAAAGTAGAGACAACATTTTTTTGCAGATGTTGCATTTTTCCAGAGAGGCTTCTTTAGTGCAATGGTTCAGAAATGGGGATTGTCTTACAATGAATTCCGAGGGATTAGATAGCAGTTTGATGGAAGCACTGGTTGATTTTAAACAAAACATTGAGAGAATAAAGAGAAAAAACGCCCATCCTTAGACTTCCTCATAACTATCCTGAGTGATAGCTGCCTGAAAATCCAAGTTTACAGAAAATCTACTTGCGTAGAACGAAACTTATATTACCATAAAAGCTATCCCAGAAAGCATAAGATCCGTTGCATATGAAAAATTGTCAATAGACAAAAACCACTATAGCTCATCAGCATCCTTGTAACAGGTGGACTCAGGAACCTCTTTCACAGGGGTCTTCAAACTTGGCCCTTTTATAACTTGTGGACTTCAACTCCCAGAATTCCTCAGCCAGGCATGCTAGGTGAGGAATTCTGGGAGTTGAAGTACACAAGTCATAAAAGGGCCAAGTTTGAAGACCCCTGCTCTGTCAGTATTGAACAACGATCCCACACCAAATGTCCTTAAAAAATGCTCCAGGAAACAGAGGACTGAAAGATATCCCTAGGATTGTACAATAACACTCCCATACATAATATATATATATCAGTTTATTATTCCAGCCACCATTCATCATAGTGATCCACAAACCCATAGAAACTCTACAAAAAATCTTGTGTAAATGAAAAAAAAACCCCAAACCTACATACTCCATCAAGAAATAACCAACATCAGGTACAGAATCAACAGTCAGGAATCCAGCCAACATGTCATTGGACAAATAGAACACAAACTACACATTATTACTACTACTACTACTACTATTATTATTATTATTATTATTATTATTATTATTATTATTTATTATTTATTATTTATTATTTTTTATTATTATTATTATTATTATTTATTTTTATTTTTTTTATTATTATTTTTATTATTATTATTATTATTATTATTATTATTATTATTATTATTATTATTATTATTATTATTATTATTATTATTATTTGCACAGTCAGCTAGATGTTCACACTGGATTTAGCATTTTTCTCTACCTATCGAGTCCTTAGTAAGGACCTGGGATAGGCAGATCTGGAAGTTTGATGGTGTTACAGATATCATCAAACATCCACATCTGCCTATCCCAGGTCCTTGGTAAGGACTCAATAGGTAGACAAAAATGCCAAATCTAGTCTGAACATCTGGATGACTATGCATCATCATCATCATCATCATCATCATCATCATCATCATCATCATCATCATCATCATCATCATTATTATTATTATTATTATTATTATTATTATTATTATTATTATTATTATTATTATTTCTTGCAAAATTATCTCATTTTTAAAAACTTATCACTGAATATAAAATATGGAAATCTAGATTATGCATGTTTTTTTTTACCTCAAGAAAAATAACTTGCATTTTTAGTTTGTATTCTAGAAATTATTCTACTTTTTTCAGTGGAGTGTAGAAGTGCATCTAAATAATTTTGAAGTGTGAATTTTAGGGAAAAGTGAATTATTCCATTTAGTTTAAAATAAAGGGCACCATCCTTTATAGTTTCTTTGATTTTTCTTTTATGTTTCTAAGAGAAAAACGTTTAGATAAAACTGATGTATCAAATATCCTTCCACAGAATTCTAAAAGGTAATATTTACTTGTAAATCTGATAGAAAGTACTAATTGCACTTTAAGTATATTATATTTTTTCCCCCAGAGGAGCTGCTTCATTCACACATTACTCACTGGTGGTCACCTGATGGAGAGAGGCTGGCGTTCCTTATGATAAATGACTCATTAGTACCAAATATGCTTATTCCTTGGTTTACTGGATCTCTGTATCCCAAAGGAAAACAATACCCATATCCAAAGGTAAAGAAACTGAGTAATACTTTCTTTATTATTAATGTATGCTTTACTTAATTGTTCCCTTACCCACAATTACTGGAAGAAAACAGTCATTGTAGTTGAAAATAACAACTCTATTACCTAAAAATAAAAGACTTAAGCAATTTTTTTGTTTGGTTATTCAGATATAATTACAGACATCCCAGTCCCAGGAGACTTATGTGGATGTTTTTGTGAATTAATGAACTAATCTAGGTTTGTTTGTTTTTTTTGTCACTTGTTCAACATGAGAGCAGGTTGAGAAACTTGCATGAGATGGGTCGCAAACAAATTTAACAAATAAATGAATAATTAAATAAAATAAATAAATAAATAAATAAATACATAATTTCAGTTCTTCTCTCTTGTTAAGATTCAACTGACTTCAGGCTGTTTATCTCTTCTATCAAGTCAAATAAGCACTGTAAGATGTAGGATATATTAACAATGCTTTACCTCCAGGTAAAGCTACCTTTTCCTATGCTATGTGCACCACTTGACAAAATATAATTAAAACCATATCGGACACAAAACCATCTTAGGTATGCGGTCATCACCTCTAGAATAGATTATTGCAATGAGCTTTATCTGGGACTGCTTTTGTAGACTGCAGCTGGTGCGCAATAAGCAATCTGCTGGTAAGTAACAGCCACCATAATTACTTAAGATCAGTGCTTTAGGCCCTGCATTAGTTAGTAGAAGGCTTCTCAGCACAATTCAAGGAGTTAATAATTACTAATAAATCCATTCATTTATTGTAGTCCCTGGGCAGCATGATGGGAATATAATAAATGGAGCTTATCAGCTGGAAAGCAGGCAGCTCAGGTTTGAGAACCAAGTGTCATGTGTCAGGGTGAGCTCCCATTACTCATCCCACCTCCTGCCAGTCCAGCAGTTTGGAAGCATGCAAATGCAAGTAGTTAATGAATGCTGGCAGTTTGTTTGGGGGGTTGGATTATTCACTGGTTTTATAGCTGGCTTATTGTTTTAACATATTACCATAAACTTCTAGTACTTTTGCTGGAGTGTGGCAGTCTACAGGAATAGTAAAATAAATAAACTTTTTAAAAAACATTAAAGAACCTATGAATGTTAGAATCGAACATGTAGTTTAAGCATGGATTTAGGCCAGGATGAATGATGCATAAACTTGTTAAATCTGTCTGTTTTCCCTCCCCAGCATGGTTTCTTTTTTATTGTTTTTTTTTACTTATTTTTATATTTTTAACCCTTTACATTCCACACAGAGTAATTTGGTCAGTGGGCAACTTTAGAAAATGAATAAATAATGTATTACTCTGGACTAGGATCTGTTTGATAACTATCTTTATTACATTTGAATTTTTAAAAAATATGAAATTGTTAGATGACTTTACAGCATGTAAAATTAAATGTAATACATCAGTAGATATTTTTCATATGTTTTTGATAGGAGCAGAATTAATTTCTGCAACTGTTATATTACTTTTCTTTAGCAATTTCAAATTGTACAGTACAAAAAGAAACACAGAACAAAGGATAAAATTTAAGATTCAATTAAACTTATGATAAAGAAATTATAAAAGTCTAGTATAATTTATTATGTAGTGAGCAGATTTATTTTGTTAATAAATTGTAACCTTTATTTAATTTTTCTGTTCATTTTAGATTCACCTTAATTATGAAGCAAATGATCTAATAATGTAGACTAAGACTTTATGTCTTGCAATGTTTTACTTCACTAGGCAGGTTTAGTAGTATTTATGACTACTATTGGACCAAGCTGGTGCATATTGAACTTTTTATAATTATTTTTACTCCTTATAAAAGCATCATCCCTTTTTTGTATTTTATACAGTTATTTGTATTCACAACGAAAAAAGGAAAATAAAATAAGTTTGTAAGAATGTAGGTCTTATTGTATATGCCAATACATGGCCAACAATTCTCTGTCATGGAATATCAATGAGATATCTATGTGACTTGTATTTAATTATTTCATATTTCATCAATACTGAAATGTATTTATTTTTTTTAAAAGGCAGGTGAACTGAATCCAGTAGTAAAGCTGTATGTTGTCAATCTATATGGCCCAACACATACATTGGAACTCATGCCACCAGACAGTTTTAAATCAAGGTAAGCAAAGTTGAAGTTGATATTTAACCTACTATACTTTAGCTATATTCTAGAGAGCCAGCTTGGTTTAGTGGTTAAGGCACTAAAATAAAAAGAGATGGCAAATTTAGTTCTGCCTTAGACATAAAGCCAATTGGGTGACCTTGGGCCAATCATTCTCTCTCAGCCCTCAGAAAACACAGTGGCAAACAACTTCTGAAAATCTTGCCAAGAAAACTGCAAGAACCAGTCCAGACAATCACCAGGAATCAACATTTTCTCGAAGGGCTACTAGCAGGTAAGTTGAAGAAAGAGATGGGGTAATTCTAGCTGCAGAAGACCATGCCTTGTATACAAATGCATACAAAGTTTGAATTAAGAAGACAGCAATAGATAGCAAATGCTGTCTCTACAAAGAAGCTGAAGAAACAGTGGACCATCTAATTACTTGTTGCAAGAAGACCACACGGATTGACTACAAACAATAACATGGGACAGTAGCAACAATGGCACATTGAAATATCTGCAAGAAATACAGTATCTATTTGCCTGCAAGCAAGAACAAGTGGGATCACAAAATAGACAAGATAATAGAAAATAAATAAGTTAAAGAGCTATGGGACGTTAGACTCCAAACAGGCAACTTCCAGGCTTAACAACTGCCAATAAGAAAGACAAAATAAATAAATAAATAAATAAAAAAATCTGGATAGCAAGTGTTGCAATACTTGGAGACAGCAGAATAAAAGAGAAAAAAATGAGGAAAACCACAAAATACAAAGTTCTGAAAATTAGAAATAGAACATAGCAAATAAAGCAAAGATAGTATCAGTATTAATAAGGCACCTTAGGTGTAATCCCAAAATATCTGGAGAACCACTTGAACACTATCAGTATTGACAAAATCCCCATCAGTCAATTGCAAAATGCAGATTTATTTGGAACAGTTTATATCCTGCAACACTATCTTCAGCACCATCAACAGTGACATCTCTCTATCCCAGGTGCTTGGGAAGGACGCAATAGATGGATAAAAGTGCCAAATCCAGTCTAATCATCTGGCTGACTGTACAACAAACCTTCATAATGATCCATTTTTAAAAAAAATCTTATAGATTGATTTTAGGTAATAGAATGAAAATGTTACTCTAGAATTGATCTACTGAATTTTTTTTATAAAGCATTTGACATTGTTTACAAAAGAGATATGAAGAGAAGATACTTTCATAGAAGAGATATCTCTGTGCATGCAGACTGAAAGAGAAGCAGCATTATTTGATTAAATTTGTCAAGATTTTATGTTTAGGCTTGCAACAAGGAATGGAACAGATTAGAACTTCAGAAAACTTCTCTAAATATCATATCCAAAGTCCAAACTCTATAATCACTGAATTAAAGTGGTCTGTCTTTTTTCATTAAAAGAATGCTTGATTCTGAAAACTGACCACTTGTTTAAATAAACTAAATTAAAAATTAAAGCAAAAGCATTAATCAAAGAAATACAAGATAGGGAAATTTTCTGGATTTCAAAGAATCTAGAATGAACGTTTGCTGATTAGGATGGGGAATAAAATTTTAAAGATTTGTTTATAGAGAATGAGGTGAGATACAGGATAAAGAGATGATTGTATTTTAAGCGATGGCAATTAAAGTTGTTTATATTCACCAGGACGGATTCTTTCTTTCTTTTACCCTCTTTTTTTTGCACATCCAATTTTTATCTTTTCGTTTTTGTAGTTTGTATTAGTTTGATGTGTATATGTTATTTTCAATAAAATTATTACAAAATTGATTTTTTAAAATTAGATCTTAATACATGCAAATGTGTAGATTATACAGGGGTGAGTTCTAAATCATCAGATTCAAAATACATTATATCCAATAGTGCATTTTCCAAGCAGTAAGCAAAAACAACAAATATTACATATCTAAGTAGATAACAGGTCTATTTTTCTTTTTTTTTTAAAAAAAAATGTGAGTTTGTGCAAGCTTACTAAATAAAATCATGTATTTGATACATTCTGTTTGAGTTGCAAATGGTTTTAAGTAATCATTCTGCTGTCATATCACAAAGCCTGAGTGTGTACCTCCCTGGAAAATCAATTTTAATTTTACCTATGAAAGTACTGTATAATGCCCTAGTTACAGAAAACTGGAAATGGGCATGATAAAGCAAAAACACATTGAAAAATATGTTAAAAATCCAAGACATAGGATATATGTTCTCTTTCTTTTACCCACTCCAGAACAAATTGAGGTCTGTTGACCCTTTATTTTATACACATTGAAAGAAGTCCATAGTCTGCAACAATAAATTTCTGATGTGTTTGATGTTTTTTACTGTTTGTGTTCAGATGACACAGTGTCAGTTGTTAAAGAAAAATAAAAACAAGGGCATGTAGAAACAGTGTTCTGATAAACAAACACATCCAGCAGAAGAACTCTATGTTAACTGGTAATGCCATTCCCAAACTGTAATCAAACTAAATAGAAATGGAAAATGTAATGTTACTTCACCTAGAAATGCCTACAAGGATAAGTATCATGACAAGCTTGAAAAATTGCTATGTGATTTAAATGAAATACCACAAAAATTCAAAATTGAGAATATCGGCAAAGCAATTGTCTCCTAACTTGCTGAATGTAAACATGAAAGACAAAGGGCCTTTCTTTGATATCCTTTTGAGATCAAGTCTTGATTGCTAAGATGATAGGTAATTATGAAGATTACTGTAAACTACTAATCCTGATGAATTCTGTGCATTGGTATCATTCTACCAACAAACAGCTTCTATTATTTACAGAAATTCTTTTTGTATTAGTATCAAATCTGGTACTTTAATTTTATTTATACAAAATTATACTATAATCACTTTTACAATTTATTATATTTTGTTAACCAGATAATACTTAAGAGCAATTGCACAATTTTTAGAATAACATGAAGCTATACACAAAGGTATTATAAAGGAGTATGATAAATAACAACAAAGGAGGAATGCAAGAACTGTTAGGTAAACATCAACTTAGTCTTGGGGAGGAAGAGAGGAAGAGAAAGAAAGAAAAAACACTACTCTGATTTTCTTTGGTATAAGAGGGGACAAGGAAATATCCTAGTAGGCTTTCAAGATTTTATTATAGCCCATAACAATAAAACAGAATTCTGATAGCCCTTCAGCCTGTCTGTTCTCTGACTTGGCCAGCTTTGAAAAGCTAACATCATGCTTGAAAGTCTCACTATTTTACAATAGAAACCATCTTTACTTTGGATGAAATGCTCATTTGATATTTGAGGCATGCCATTTCTGAAAGATGAGTTGCTGAAACATTGTTGCAGCATCAACAGCAAATAAATATACATATAACAAACCTGCACAATGATGTGGTACATCTAACATAGAAATTGTAACAAAATTTCACTCAGCTAGAAAAGACTAAAGAACCTTCCACCCAATCAATGTTATTCTCCTGGAAGTTTGTCAGAGAACTCTGGGGGACTTCAGGATCAATTTTTGACTATAATAACCAAAGTGAATTGTTTATAATGGTTTGGACAACAGAATGTCCTGAACAATGCTTAAATATTGCCTTTTCTTTGAGTCTGCAGAAAGGAGGAATAACCAATTGGACTATGCCTTTCGTTAAGAGCAATGATCAATTGCTGGACAGTTACCAGAACTTCATTCAAATATTAGACCTTTTGATGATTCAGGAGAGTTACAGCAAATTACCTCATGGCAAGATGGGTGGCAAACAAATTTAATAAATAAATAAAATTCAGGAGTTTCGTAAGCTAAAGCAGGTGATCACAGATTTCATGAGTATCTACCAGATTTCAATCATAAGACAGAAATATGGAATGGAATGATCTTGTTCTGATTGACCAGTTTGGAGAAGGACTTGCTGATTAACTGAGAAAAGAGTGGAGCAAGGCATACTGTCAAAATGTTCTGTGGGATGTTTTTTTTAATTTATTTATGTATTTCTATAGCCACCCAATTCATTCAAATGACTTACAATATTGATGGAAGATTGAAAAAAATTGAGACACCGAGGAAAGAATATGGAAAGTTTCACAACTTCTCTGCATCCTTAACTCCACTCTGTGGAATCCTTAGATGCCAACACTGGAGAATCCATGCAAATAAAAGCAGTATATAAGAGCAGTTTCCTGTCCATAGGAGAAAAAACAGAGGAGAAACCACCATTTTTGTATCTACTATGGAGCCATAGGGCTCCTAGCAAGACTTGCACTGCTAACGTACAGATCTCTGAATCAGTTATTAAGTGCCACAACTATGGGACTGTGAGTTGTATAGCAAGCTAATGTTGAAATCATTCCAGAGTATCATCTTGGAGAACCTCATAGACTCCCCTCCTAAGATCTCAACAGAGAGCCTCAGGCAGTGAAGAGTTCAGACAACAACAGCAGAAAAGCATATTTTATTCTTGTTACAGTTCGTACACTCTCAGACTTAAAAATTCAGCTCTCCATTCTTCTAGATTCAGGTGCACAGCCAATGTCAGAGATAAGATAATACTATAGTTTAAACTGCTGACACAGAGAAATGTTTATTTGTGGAAACAATTGACCTGCTTTTATCTGCAATTGCAATACTTTTACAACTGATAATAAATGACCCTACAGAATTATTTCCCTTCCATTTTATCACAACCTATTTACATGCCCCATTGATTGGGCTCAAAATAACTATCCAGATATCCACTGGCAGCAAGGGCCTATCAAAAGTGTGAGCAGCAGGATTTGCAAAGTTTTTATTCTTGCCTTCTTTGCAGAACAGCTCTGGTAATCCTCTTCCTTACCAGAAAAGGGCACAGAGTTGGTGATGTTTGGGGGAAGAAGGAATTAATCTCTCTTTTTTATTATAATAATTTTACTAAATATTACAGTTAAAAAATTGCAAAAAAAAAAATAAAGTGCAGAAGAACAGAAAAAAATAATTTAGAAAGAAATATATATATAAAAAAGAAATACAGACAAGAAACAGAAAAGAAATATA